CGATGACTAAACAAAAGCTCTGTACTGAAATCGAGGGAAAATGTCATTGGACTGCATAGCAAATACCTGCAAGTTCACATCTAAAATATTTGTTCAAATCCAACTTCCGACAGACGAAAAAGATGAAGAACTCAGAAAAAACTAAGGCTTCAAAATGGTGGGGTGTGTGTGTGTGTGTGTGTGTGTGTGTGTGTTGGGGGTCACCTGCATGGCTCAATCAGTTAAGTGTCCAACTTCAGCTCATGTCACGATCTCACGGTTCATGAGTTTGAGCCCCGCGTTAGGCTCTGTGCTGACAGCTCAGAGCCTGGAGCCTGCTTCGGATTTTGTGTCTGTCTGTCTCTCTGCCCCTCCCCCGCTCATGCACTGTCTCTCTCCTTCAAAAATAAACATTAAAAAATGGTGGTGTGTGATTTCAAGCCATCATTTTTAGAGGTGGCATAAGCTAGTGATTAAGCATAGTGAGAGCATGGACTTTCATTGTGCTCCTTAATTCTCACACTTCAATTTCCCCATCTTTCATTTCATTTCTTTCTTTCTTTCTTTCTTTCTTTCTTTCTTTCTTTCTTTCTTTCTTTCTTTCTTTCTTTCTTTCTTTCTTCATTTTAGGGAGAGAGAGCATGAGCAGGGGAGAGGAGCAGAGGGAGAGAGAAAGAATCCGAGCTGTCAGTGTGGAGCCTGACACAGGGCTTGATCCTGCGGCCCTGGGATCATGATCTGAGCTGAAATGAAGAGTCAGATGCTCAATTGACTGAGCCACCCAGGTGCTCCTCAATTTCCCTATCTTTCAAAAGGACTGATAAGAATAACACCTACTTCATGAGGTAGTTAGGTGAGTTAACATGTGTCCCTCACTTTGGACAGCATCAGATGCACAGTAAGTACCATAGCAGTACTTGGAGAAAGCATTCCAAAGAGGAAGGATACCCGGTGTGTTTGAGGAATGGCAAGGAGATTAGTGGGACTTAAGCATAGTGAACAAAGAGAGTGATAGTTGAAGTCAGAGAGACAGCAAGGGCCCTGTGGGTCATTTCTTCAGTGAAATGAGAATCTGTAATGAACCACTCTGATGGCTGACCTGGGAAGAGACTGTACAAGGGGATGGGGGTGGAATAAGGACACCTGTTGGGAGGCTACAGTCATTGGGAGGCACGAGATAATGGGGACAGTAGTGGAAGCGGTGAGAGGTGGTCTGATCCTAGATACGTTTGGAAAATAGAGCCTATAGGACTGGCTGATGGTTTGGATGTGGGGTATGAGATAAAGAGCCCAAGAGAAAAAGGATAGTTTCCATGAATGGAGACAGAGAGGCTGTGGGGGGAAGATAAATTGGGAAGATCAACATTTCAGTTAGGAACATGTTATGTGTGAGATATGTTAGATGTCTAAGGGGACATGGGTGTAAAATATACTGTTCTTCCAAGTGACCACCGATCCTGGCTGATTAAATCAATGCTAGCCTTCCTCTAACATTATGCAATTATATGTGGCCACCGAGTCAAATTTTTTGATGTGGATCATCACAGGGGCAACATGGATGACACCGTGGGAAGACCTTAACCTTGATGGCAGGCAGGTTTAAATCCTGCTTCTGCCTCTTATCAGCACTTTCTTCTTAGGTCTATCCTATTAAACTCAATGCACCTTCCATAAGGTTCTTCTTACATCAGGTGTGGATGCGAATACTTTTCTTACAGGCTCGTTGCAGTTTTCAAGCACAGGTAAGGTATGCAGTGTGCCTACTTATGGTGTGCTGATAGGGAAATAATTGCCTATCATTTCTTCAAGGTAGATATCCAGATCTTTCCTCTTTCTAGTCTGTTCTGCCTCGTGAATAACTGCCAGCATTTGACAAGAATAGGAGAGAAAACTGATAACCAATTTTCGTAAGAAACCCTGAACTAAAATTCCTGAAACTGGTTCATTTGAGAGGACTCTCCCAGCAATATCAGTGTAGATTTGGGGAACCTGACCCACCTTTGTGCGCATTCTGAACACTCCAAGCTTTATGGAAGTGGAAAAAGAAGAATGGGGTTTTATAATGCCTAATCCTAAAGTCTGAGACCAACTCCTAAAATGGACAATAACAGTATCTCCCAGATACTATTCAGAGCAATTTGTGTTTGATTTTCTCAACTCTCTTTATAACTCGGTGAAAATGGATTTCCAGAGTCTCTCAGTAGGAGATAAAAAGCTTTGTTTATCTCCCATATGCAAAGATTTAGACACATTCATACTCAATGGCTTTCAGTTTTTTTTTTTTTCCCCACCTCCTTCCCACCCACTTGGACAAATACTAGGAGAAAGGGCTGTGAACTGTGTCCTTGGATGGTGTGGAGAGACCAGAACTAGCAATTTTTTGTTTACCTGAGAGCCAGGAACCACTAGGTCCTTGGCCTGCTTAATGATCTGCCTCTCTTGATTAGGTCAGAAGCAGAGCACAGTGATGAGGAAATTACCTTCAGCTTGACCTTTAAGGCCTTGCTGGTGTATTTTGTGTGGGCTTTTCTATTGACATTTCTGACTGCCCCTTTTGCAAACTGAAAACAAATAACTGGGGATCAAGAGGAAGAAAGAGTACAGGAGTAGAAGTCAGCCAATGTGAGTAAGATGATGTGAAAAATACTGTGTAAACTAAGAAGTGCTATAGGGATGTTGGTTATTGCCAAGGACATTATCTATAATTAAGTATTTAACAATGACCAAGGAGGAGAGAAGTTCTCTCTTATCCTTCTTGCTTGTCTGCAGGGGCTTTTCAGGCAATGTTGTATATGTGGACTGTAATTGATGCACTCAGTTCACTCACAAATAAAAATCCCCATGAAAAGAATGACTATTTCTTTTAGACTTCCCCCCAAACTTGTAAGCTTTAAGTTCATAGTACATTCTGTGAACTCAGCAGGGGATCTAGTGGCTGAAATCTTTAACTTAATTGATTCGTAAGACAAATAACAGGATTAAAATGAATAGTAGTATAATAACAAGTACACCTATAATTTGAGCTAGGCACTGGGCAAAGTGTTTTACATTTCATCTTATATAAAGCTCAAACAAATCCATAAAATAGAAAAAGGCATGAGAAAATGGATGAAAAAACTGAGGTTTAGGAAAGTTAAGTACATTTCCCAAGGTCAAACAACTCATAAGTAACAGAGTAGGATTAAGACAAGTTTATCGAACCCCAAAGCCTTCTATATTCCTATAATTTTACCCTCTCCTTTATGTCTACAACTTCATAAGTCTGCAAATAGGCCTGTAATTGCAAAATGTAACAGATTCAAATCTTTAGCAAAAATTTTATAATATAAAATTTTAATATTTTTCTATGAATTATGACTTTATGTTTGCTTTTCACTATTTCTATTTCTCTTGTATTATCTATTATACATTTCTCTTTAAAACTATAGGGGAGCATGGGTGGCTCAATCGGTTAAGCATCAGACTTCGGCTCAAGCATGATCTTGAGGTTGGTGGGTTCTAGTCTCACAGAGGGCTCTGTGCTGACAGCTCAGAGCCTGGAGCCTGCTTTGAATTCTGTGTCTCCCTCTCTCTGCCCCTCCCCTGCTCATGCTCTGTCTCTTTCTCAAAAATAAACATTAAAAAAAATTAAAAAAAAAACACTGTGTATAGACACACACATCTGTTTGTGATTATGTGTCTGAGCTGTGAGGAATATATGGGTCCTCCCCCCCTTAGGGTCTCTTTTATTCACATTCTCTATTGAATTCCTCTCTTTCCTACCAATTGGTTTCTCTCTTGAATGGCCAAAATATGAGAGCTAAAGTATATTCTTACTTATTTGTTCATCTAAAGGATTTTTTGCTTTCTTCTTTGTTTTTAAATGGCTTTTAAGTAACACTAAATTGACTTTCTTTTACATTTTATGGTCTTACAGGTCTCAGCCTGCGTTTATGGTCTGTTATTCGTGTTTATCAGATGCCTTCCTTTTGATTATAGTCTTTGCTGGGCAGGGAAAGTGCCTTTCCCGTCTTTGTAAGTTCCACAATCTAACACAGAGCTTCTAATAAAAGCGTCTAAACAAAATAAAATGATTAAGAAACTTAAAACCCAGTGCCTGCCAGTGTTTTCACAGCAGTTGATAGGCAAGAAGAGATGTCGGTGAGAATTACAGACCATCTTCCGTAAACAAACTTGATTCTGTCTCCAACCTTGGGGGCAAACTGAGGGTAGGCCCACCAGTCACAGCTGGGTGTGAGGATGGGAGGTGAGGGGGGCACTGAGCTGAAACCACTTTTACCTCCAAGAGTTCGGATCCAGGAGCCGGTCCAACCTATCCTTCAGGAAGCCGTTAGTAACGGGACGAAGGACAGAAACGCCAATCGATTCTCTAGGCTCGGCTCTATCCTCCCTCGCCTGGATCCCGCTTCATCTCGGGGACCTTCTGGTAGGGGAATCTGAAGCGGAGCTGGCCAACCGAAAATTGCGCGTGGCACCCGCCACCCGGCTTCTCGGCCGCGCGGACCCAGGAGGACTCTCCCACCGCAGCCCCCTCCTCCCCATCCTCAGGTTCCCGCGGCCCGTCGCGTCCCAGTCGGCTGGGCAGAGCTTCCCCGACACTGCGCCTCCCGGCTCTCTGTGCCTGGTTCCCGCACCTGCCCCTGAGCAGAGGTTTTCCCCCATTCGGCCCCATCTGGGCGCCCTTGCCCCTCGGTGACTCCCTCGGCGACTCGCCTGGGCACGCGATCGACGAAGCCCACCCTTCTCTCTCCCGGTGACCCAGCTTCAGTTTCCTAATCTGGAGAGTAGGGACAACAGTCTCCACATTTACTCGGAAAATAAGAGGGCGACCAAAAAAAAAAAAACACAAGAGATTCCATGATAACATTTATTACTAATCCTCATTCGGGTTGTTGGCACAGGCACTGCAGCTGCGACGGTCTTGGGGTGGGGGGAAGGCGCGCGTTCCCAGCGGATTGGGAAGGCGGTGGCTTCGAGCGCCCGCCCCGGCTCCACCCTCCCTGCCCCGGGCGCGGCCCGCCCACCCGCACCCTCCTCCGCCCGCTAGCCTGCCGCAGCTCGAGCTCCGCGGCCATCCGGAGACCCGCGGCGCGCGGCGACATGGCGGGCGGCCACCGCCTCCTGCTGGAGAACGCGCAGCAAGTGGTGATGGTGTGCGCCCGCGGCGAGCGCTTCCTGGCGCGGGACGCGCTGCACAGCCTGGCCGTGCTGGAGGGCGCCAGCCTGGTGGTGGGCACGTAAGTGGCCGCGCGCTGGGGGGACCGGCTTGGCCCCCTTTCCCTAACTTGTGCGCTCTGGAGGCAACCGGGGAAAAAAAAGCTTTCCGGCATCCAGAGAGCCATTGCAGGCCTGTCTTTTAGGCACCTGTTGCTACCTACCTTGTGTGACAGCTTCCGGTTGCCGTTTGGTGAAAAAACGCTCTCAAGCTGAACCCCACGCCCTCCCTGCCCCCTATCTCCAGATCTTTGGAATCTGCATCTCTGCGGTGGAGTTCTGGGACTTTAAGTTTTTACAAAACACTCTCCAGCCCAACCCCCTTTGTACACTAAAGCTTGAGCACCACGGAAGACGTTCAGATAGTGACGGTTTGGGGTGATAGGAAGTTAAGATTCAGCTACCAAAAAAAGAGGACATTTTCAGTTTTCACTAAGCTTCTGTGCTTCCTGCAATGACGTGAGTAAAAGAACAGGCAAAGTTTGGGAGGGTGAGCCTGCAGTGGGAATGGAGTTTGGATGCCTGTTTGAATTGGAGAGCGCCGCGGCATCGCGATTGCGCAAGATGGGCTCGGCCCTTATCTGAGGCTGCTTAGGGTTGTGTAAGAGTCCAGCTTTTAGGGACTGTGTGTTTTATTTTTAATTAACAAAGTGATAAAAAAAAAACATTCTCAGTGTTATTGCTAAAAATTAGTTAAAAGCATAACAGAACCACACAGAGGTAGGAATCCAGACCTAACTGATGGCCGTACTCTATAGAATCCAGAGGCCCTAGTATCTTGCTCTCCTGTGCACAACCCTCTTTCTTCCTCACTTCATCATCCAAGATGGCTGCTACGCCTCTCCTTCTGGTGTCCACCTTCCAGACAGTAGGAAATAGGATGAGAAAAAAAATCGTTTTGGTTACAATTTAGTCACATGGGCCACACCCGGCTGATGAGAAACCCATAAATGTAGTCTTCATTCTGGGTGGTCATGTGTTCAGCTAAAATTTAGGAATCTAGCACTGTGAGGGAAAGGGAACACTGATCTTAGCAAACAACTGGCAATCTCTACACATGATTTGGCTTTTTGCCTTGCATGTGGCTAGAGTCTTTTTTTTTTTTTCAAAGACACAGATGCAAGTAGGAAATACAACAAATGTTGACTGATACCAAAAGACATGGGCAACATATTTTAAATCATTAGTCAGCTTTTCCACAGTATTTCCCCAAACTTTAGTAATTATTTCTTGATTTTTATTCAGGGATGGGTTTATAAAAGCCATTGGTCGGGCTGATGCTATCCAAACACTGTTTTCTGAAGAAACGTTTGAAGAAAGAATTGACTGTTCTGGGAAATGCATCTTGCCAGGTATTAACCTCTTTTTCAGTAAAGCCCTGCATCTGGTTTTAGTAACATAAAGAAGAGTAGCAGCTTGTTTTAAATAGGGTCTCAAAATAATACTAAAATATAATAGCTACTGTGCATTGAATTTCCACTATTGAATGTCTAAGCTGCTTTACAAACATGTTTTCATCTTGAATCCTTATGACTGCCCTGTAAAGTATCATTATCTATATGTTACACATTAGAAAGCTCCAGTTTAGGGATGAAATATCTTACCCAAGATTGCTGGACAGGTAAAGGGCAAGCTGGGAATCAAACTTATTCATTCACTTCACTTCTTCCCACTCACATGCTAGAGAGAAACCAGCTGTGGTGTGTGTAGGTTCAAAGGCTGTTGGAAGAACTTTACTAGTCTATTTCATATGGGAGGCAGATAGGGCAAAGTGCTGTTTCTAATACCAGAATATACTCTAAATTTACAGAGAGTGTGAAACAACACATCTCTAGGCAGAAAAGTGTGTGTGTGTGGGGGGGGATCCTTAGAGATTTCACTGAAGTTTATTTAAATCTTTAATGATTGACAACAAAATCAGTTTGTTAACCATCATCTCCTACATAATGTTCTATAGCTTCATGAAATCATCTGAAGCAAGTTTCACAAATTTTGAGTTCTATACAAAACATAGAGGCTAAAATTTACATTTTAAAAATGTATACTATGTATACCTGATAGAACTTCTACCTTCTGGCTCTTGGGGGTCAGGAACTAAAGTCAGAGTGAAACCTTATGAAAACAAGCAGAAAATAGTAGAAAGCAATCTGAATAGAGATTCTTGATTTTAGTCCAATCAGAACTATTTATTAATGAGACTTTTAATCCACAAGGTATTTAAAATATTCTGGAAAGACACACTTTACTGAGTTAGACCTGGATAAGCAAACAATCCAAATGATTGCTTTATAGTTTCTCTTCAGTTAAGCTACATTTCTTTTTTTTTTTATTAAAAAAATTTTTTTATGTCTATTCATTTTTGAAAGACAGAGACAGAGCACAAGCAGGGTTGGGGCGGAGAGAGAGGGGGACACAGAATCCGAAGCAGGCTCCAGGCTCTGAGCTGTCAGCACAGAGCCTGAGGTGGGGCTCGAACCACAGACTGTGAGATCATGACCTGAGCTGAAGTCGGACACTCAACCGACTGAGCCACCCAGGCGCCCCTACATTTCTTTTTTTGAAGAAAGATTCATATTTCTGATTTCATATTTTTCCTTCTCAAAGTTGGGAGGGATTGTATTCTGTTTTCACACCCACATTATTCCTTGGTGATACAGTCCTTGGTTTTGCTGAACTAATAGCTATGACATCCTGTTTTAAAACAGGATGCTTAGTGAGCATGGGCTTAGTGGGCAGAAGAAGCTGTGTTTCTTTCTTTCTTTTTTTTTTTTAATTTTTTTTTTCAACGTTTTATTTATTTTTGGGACAGAGAGAGACAGAGCATGAACGGGGGAGGGTCAGAGACAGAGGGAGACACAGAATCGGAAACAGGCTCCAGGCTCTGAGCCATCAGCCCAGAGCCTGACGCGGGGCTCGAACTCACGGACTGTGAGATCGTGACCTGGCTGAAGTCGGACGCTTAACCGACTGGCCACCCAGGCGCCCCAGAAGCTGTGTTTCTTTATTGGATATACTCGTCATGCTGAGTCACCCTCCTCCATTAGAGGCTTCTAGACCGGCCATGCAGAGAGGCTTCCTTCCTCTTGGTGGAGGAAACCATACAAATTCTTCTTCCTCCATCATCCTCCAAGATGGCTGACCATCACCTGCTTTCCCAAGAGTGGTTCGAGATAGTCTGCCTACTATCTAAGGGCTTTCTATTTCTCAGATTTAAAAATGATTTGATTTATTGGTTACAGGTTTGGTGGATGCACACACACATCCAGTCTGGGCTGGTGAAAGAGTTCACGAGTTTGCAATGAAGGTAACTGCAATAAATGATGGCAAATCAAAATAAGGCACAATACAGACACATCTTTTTCTAAAGAGTGGATAGGCTATCAAGCTTTGCAACAACATATGTCTACATTTCTTTTTAATGGATATTTTTTACTGACCTGGACTATGGAAAATAAATTACAACAAAACGGACTTATAACTGTCCAAATCTTTATGCTATGCATAGGGCCAGCAATCTTTAGGTATGATAGTTTTCAAAAAATTTTAGCTGTAGAATCCTTATGTATGTATGTATGTATGTATGTATGTGTGTGTGTGTGTGTGTTTTGTTTGTTTGTTTTAGACTCCTTCTTTTAAAACAGAGCTGGGCTGACTTTTTCTTTTTTTTTTTTACTTTTTTTTTCAACGTTTTTTATTTATTTTTGGGACAGAGAGAGACAGAGCATGAACGGGGGAGGGGCAGAGAGAGAGGGAGACACAGAATCGGAAACAGGCTCCAGGCTCTGAGCCATCAGCCCAGAGCCCGACGCGGGGCTCGAACTCACGGACCGCGAGATCGTGACCTGGCTGAAGTCGGACGCTTAACCGACTGCGCCACCCAGGCGCCCCAGGGCTGCCTTTTTCTACTAGTTTCTCCTCTCTTTCCCTTCCCCCATTTCACCTCTCCACCCCTACTAGCCTTTGGAGGGGCTCCAGGAAACAGTTTGAAATTCACCATTCATTGGTTCCAACTTGGAAAAATATATTGCTAATCATAAAAAATAAAATAAGTCTTGTATTTTTTTTCCCTGAAAAATGAGACTTATTAAGAAATATAAGGTGTAGTCTGTGTCACAACTCATTAATTAGCCATAGTCAGCCCTCAAATCCCTGGTTGGAGCCATTTTCACATTGTTTCTTTCTAATAGATTTTATTTTTTAGAGAAGTTTTAGGTTCATGGCAAAATTGAGTGGGAGGTACAAAGATTTCCCATATACATCCTGACCCCATACATGCACAGCCTGCCCCATTATCAACATCCCCCACCAGAGTGGTACCTTTGTTACAATTGATGAGCCTATACTGACGCATCATTATTATGCAGAGTCCATAGTTACTAGTGTTCTCTCATGGTGCTGCATGTTCTATGAGTTTGGACAAATGTGTAATGACACGTAACCACCCTTATAGTATCAGAGTGGTTTCACTGCCCTAAAGTTTCTCTGTGCTCTGCCTATTCATCCCTTTCCCTGCCAACCCCTGAGAGCCAATAGTCACTGATCTTTTTACTGTTTCCTTAGTGTTGCCTTTTCCAGAATATCATATAGTTGGAATCATACAGTATGTAGCCTTTTCAGACTGGCTTCTTTCACTTAACAGTATGCATTTAAGGTTCTTCCATCTCTTTTCTTCACATTGGTTTTTAAGTGTACATCCTAACAGCTAAGAAATTTCTTCAGATACTGTGTACCTTCTTCAACACATAAGAGCTGTTTTTGTTTTGTTTCAGTTTTGCTTTTGAGAGAGAGAGAGAGAGAGAGAGAGAGAGAGAGAGACAGAACCAGCAGGGAAAGAGCAGAGACAGAGGGGGACAGAGGATCCAAAGCAGGCTCTGTGCTGACAGCAGTGAGCCTGATGCAGGGATTGAACTCACAAACCGTGAGATCATGACCTGAGCCGAAGTTGGACGCCTAACCGACTGAGCCACCCAGGCGCCCCACACACTAGAGCTGTTTTTAAGACTTCTTTATTAAATCACAGAATTTCAGAGCCAAAAAAACAATCCTAGAGATTTGCAGTCCAAACATCTCATTACATAGATGGGGAACGTGAGGCCCAGAAAAGGGATGGCTGTTGAATGAGTTCACCAGCTCGCCATGGCAGAACCCAGACGAAAAACTCTGACAGGGGGATCCCAGGTTGGCATACTTTGTTTGCACCACACTTCTTGCTGCCTAGAGTAACTGGAGCCCCGTGGGATCCCAGGAAGAGCTTCTCTGCTTGAGTCACAGAGGTCAGGCCCCAAACTCTAGTGGCCAGATACTGAGAGGTGGAAACCCCCCTGGGTCTCTTTAGTAGATGTTTGGAATAGCTGCAGTGGGGTTCCCAAATTGTCTAAGCTTTGTTTTCTCATCCATAGGTGCTACGGATAGATAGAGTCTTAGCTGGCACACATTGGGGCCAACTGGGTTATTAAAATACTGAAATACTCGTGGGCTGGTTGGTAAATTGTTGCTGCTGCCTGAGATTGGAAGTGCTCCCCACCACATCTCCCATTTCTGCCACCCCAGTCTTTCCTGAGGTACCCATGTTCCTTCGCCCCCCCCATCACCCTGGCAGAGTAGGGGCTTCCACGGCTATGTGTCCCAGCATCCTTTCCCATCTGCTGGTGTCCCTGACATATCAGTTGTTAAATCATTTTGAATATCACCCCTGGAGGTAGGCTCTGTGGACCTGCCTGCAACCTCGTGCCTGTGCCCGGCCTAAGGGTGAGCCCTGTGTTCAGTTGGCAGGAGCCACGTACATGGAAATTCACCAGGCTGGAGGAGGCATCAACTTCACTGTGGAGCACACGCGCCAAGCCTCGGAGGAGGAGTTATTCTGCTCCTTTCAGCAGCGGTTGCAGTGCATGATGAGGGCGGGGACCACACTGGTGGAGTGCAAGAGCGGATACGGCCTCAACCTGGAGACGGAGCTCAAGATGCTGCGTGTGATTGAGCGCGCTCGGCGCCAGGGGCCCATCAGCATCTCCGCCACTTACTGCGGGGCTCACTCAGTGCCAAAGTAACCTCAACCTGGGGCACCCAGCTTTGATTTGGGGCATTGACAACAGAGAAGGAAGGGGGCAGGTGGTGCCTAAGTGGGGATACATTCTCCTGGGAGTGGAGGTGAATCCACGCTTTAGTTCTTGCAGAAGAGTCCGGTAGAAGCCATTAGAGAGGTGTTCTGATTCTAATAGACATCTCATGCTGGTGGTTTTAGGAAGGTGATCCCCACCGGACCTATCAGTTTGCTAGTCCCTTAATGATGAAGGAGGAAGAGATGTTCAAAACTCTTTCGGTTAACAAAAAGCAATGCCCCCCCCCCCCATATAGATCCTTTAAAATGACAGATGCTACTTTAAATAGTTGCCTGTGACAGCATAATCACACATTAGAGATTCAGAGAAACACTCTGTAGGAGATAGATCACATCTGTAAGGCAAGAAGACTCAGAATGGTTTTTAATTTTGTTCATCTGTTTACTTGTTTAGCACCAAACATGTTTGTTTTCTTGTTGTAAATGTTTTTCTAGCTTTCCCTTTATCCAAAAAGTTTCTCCTATATGGCTTTACTGTAGAGAATTATGTCCCTTTCTGCCTTTGTACTTTATCTGTCCTGAAATTTCTAGACCCAAAAGCCCGCAGTTCTAGAACTAAAAGGTCCAAAGAAATCCAGAACTTAACAATTAACGGGGCAAAGTCTTAGTGCAGTTTTGAGTTTTGATAATGTAGATACAGAAGTGCCACAAGCTTACCTAAATTCTTTGAAAGTTTAATAATTTATATATTTTTACATTTATTCACTTTTGTGTATTTGAAAAATAAGTTTAATGTGAATTTTTGGTTTATCATTTTTAATCAGAGAAAATTTAAAAATTAACATTAAATTTATTATTTAAAATTCACAGAGCTAATTAAGTTGAAACATAAATACTTAATATTTCCAATGATGTTTTTGTATGTGTTTAGCATTTCTACTTCTGAGATTATTATTAAAGCTTAAAACTGCACTAAAACTTTTGGGACATCTGTCTACAGAAAATGGATTTTTTATTTTTCCCCAAATGGAACCTAAGGTGGATGAAAGGCAGTGTAACATGGTAGAGAAGTCTCAGGCTTTGGAGCCATACCAGACCTGGGTTTGAATCCAGCTTGGCTACTTTCCCACTGGGTGATTTTGAGGGCATCACTTAACTCTTTTGAACATTGGTAAAGCAGTGAGAGAACACACTCTCTATATGATTGTCTTGAGAATTGGAAACAGTATATGTAAGTGCCTGTCTCCTCATGGTCCACCTCTGTCTTCCTACCAAAATGGTTTTTGTGGAACAAGAGACTTTTATGTTCCAAATATAGGGCTAAAGTGTAAAAACTTTTTAAATGTTTTTTTATTCACTTTTGAGAGACAGAGAGTGAGCAGGGGAGGGGCAGAGAGAGAGGGAGACACAGAATCTGAATCAGGCTCCAGGCTCTGAGCTGTCAGCACAGAGCCCGATAAGGGGCTCGAACCCACAGACTGTGAGATGATGACCTGAGCCAAAGTCGGACGCTTAACCAACTAAGCCACCCAGGTGCCCCATATAGTGCTAAAGTTTTACAGAATGTTCTCCATCTGCTAATGAGTCTCTGAGGGCTACATCTTGATCCCCAAAGATACATACAGCCTGAGCCTCAGAGTATGCCAAATGACGGCTAAATAGCATGTCCAAAGTTGTGTAGCCAGCAAATAGTAGAGCTCTGTGTCCGTCTGACTTCAGAAGCCCAGCCCTGTCTAATACATAACTATTTCAGAATCTTAGAATTTCAGGGCCTCTCATGATCCTCTTTCCTCGTGGTTCCAAATGGTGAGATAGGAAGCCTTAGGCTGATGCTTCTAGAAATAGTGTGGAAGAAGAAAATGGCAGAGTGATTGCTAGGGCCCAGGTAGGGGGCCCTGCAGTTGGTTGTCAGGGAAGCCTCCAGGATGCTCTCTAAGTGTCTTTGAAAAGAGTGTTTAGTTTCTCAGGCAGGGAGCCTTGCTGGCATTCTCAAAGGCAACATGGCTGAACCAGAATGGATGAGCCATTTGAGTCTCTGTGTCCAGGGTCTGTGTATACAGAAATCTTGTCAATATCCCTGCTATGGCCCAATTGTTAAGACTCCTGAGTTATTGCTTTAGTTATTTCTCTATCTATCTTAGGGTCATTTGCCTACAGTTTGTCAGGTTCTTCAAGTGCCAGAAAAGCCTTTCTTCAATTAAAAAAAATTGTTTTTCCCATGTAACCTCATTTTCTTCCCTCAGAGGAAAGACTGCTACAGAAGCTGCTGATGAAATCATCAATAACCACCTCCCAAAGCTGAAGGAGCTTGGCAGCCGTGGGGAAATACATGTGGACAACATAGATGTGTTCTGTGAGAAAGGCGTCTTTGATCTCAATTCCACCAGAAGGATTCTTCAAAGTGGAAAAGATCTAGGATTACAGATTAACTTTCATGGGGATGAACTCCATCCTATGAAGGCTGCTGAGGTGTGGTTGACCTTTAGCTTTTCCTTTGTCAAGACTCGTGCGGTGGAAAACTTCCTTAGTTTGTTCAGAGTTAGGAATAGCCTCTCGAAAAGATAGAGAATGGGAGAACTCGTTTGAACAATGCGAGGGCTGGTCTGGTTGAGACTTGGAATCACTGACCTCTATTAGAAATTTACTTTTTTGCCGGCCATTTACTTTTATTATCACCTGCTGGTGGTATTAGTAGGAAGAGAAGTACCTTTGTGATCTTGTTTATCAAATTCAGAACATAGCTTGGTTGGAACACAAAGCTACACTGACAGAGTCTACTAAGTTCACATGTGGCTTCCAGGGGTTTTCTGTGGCAGCCTCCAGGTGAATGTTGGTGGAGTGCCCCATCAGTAGTCACCGGATGATTTTCTGACCTGCATGTCTTGCTCAGATTCATTTATTCATGCTTTTAACAAATATTTGAGTGTGTGTCAGGCACTGTCCTAGGCATTGAGAATTCAGCAGTGAATAAAACAGACAAAATTCCCTCAGTTGTGAATCTAGATGTCACTCCTCTAAACCCTGGAGCAAAATAAATAACTGCCGTTGGGACAAAAACACAGATGTGGATACTCCACATGTGTCTAAACGACAGCACATGTAATGTGATCTCTTAATATCACTTCCAAATCTTGTCCCATGTTTCCTGCCCAGTGGATGACCCCATTTACCTGTGTATTGCCTAAGCCAAAAACTTGGACATCACTTGGTCTCCTCCCCACCTTACCTGTCACATTTCAACCAATCTGCAAAAGCTCCCAGTGTATTTCCTGAATATCTCTCGGTTTACTTCTCTTAACCCTACTGCCTAGTTCAAACCACCATCAGCTCTCAGCTCCTGCAACAGCTTTTCTCCTTGTATCCACACTTCCTGCACTTCAATTCATTCCTTTAATCCATTCCCTACAGTGCATCGTATTTTCCTCTCTGTTGCTGAAAACCCCTGCAAGGCTCACCAGTGCTGGCAGGATGAATCCCAAACTCAGCACATGTAGACTTACCAGATCCAGCTCTCGCTCACCTCCCATCTTCCTCTTTCTCTGCCCTGTTTACCATGAGCCAACCACAGTAAATAGTTTTAGTATACCTAATACCCCATGCCTCTGGATATGCTTTCTCTAATCTGAGTGTCCTTTGTCTGGCTCACTCTAACTCCCTTCCATGTTTCATCTTAGCTACCACTTCTCTGGGACCCTTCCCAGAGCTCTCCAAGAATGGGTTATAGTCCCTCCCTATGCTTGTCCCACTGTGTTCAAATTGCCTCTGTGATCCCTACTGGACCGTAAACACGCTGAGGACTGTACCCACACCTTCACAGCCCTATCCCTGGGGGTTAGCACAATACCTGGCATACAGATGGCCTTTAGAGAGTAAATATTTGTTGAATGTTGAATGAATGTGAACTAGGTGGTCAGCAAGATACTCTTGGTCATAGAGAGTGACTGGCCAGTTAAATCAATAGAGGTCAGTATCCAGGATGAACAAATCAAGTTTGGAAAAGTGAAGGTGATTCCAAGGTTGGAAAGAAACTTCCCCTGGGGAGCAAAGTCTGTCTATGGAACATTGGACTCTCCAGAAGCCCAAACCAAAAGGCTATTAGACCTGAGCTCCTACTGATGTGGGGCCAGCTCTTTCCTGCCCTGGTGTGGGCATCGCTGCCTCCCTGGGCCATGGTGTAATGTCAAAAATTAGTCTACTTTCCTTGCCTTGGAGTGCTTACCATATCACCTTTCAGACTGGGTCAGTGTGTATGTGTGTGTGTGTGTGGGGGGGGGGTATGTCAACCCGAGAAGAAACCCACTTAAATGCCATGTTCTCATTATTACTATAAGATTACCTCCTCTTGGTATTCCTCTGACAATCAAGCCCAGACTTTTCACCTGGAGAGACATCAAGCTCAAGTAGATATTCCCGAATTATACATACAATTCCATTTTTAAAGTTTGTTTTCTTAATCGATCTCTTTTCACTGAGTGCAATGCAATCAATATACCTTTCTTTATGGTGTTTTTATGATGCTAGAAGAATCAGATTTTATTACCAATGTCACTCAATGTTCTATTCTGATCCATAAGATTCATGAAGTTTTCTTTTTTTAGCAAATACCTAAAGAATATCAGTAAGCCCTTATATTTAAGAATAGTTTTTAAAGTAGCACACTAGCTCATTTTCAAGTGAATGTCCTTGACAGAGCCTTTACCCATTTGGGGGCTTCTGTTTTCAAGAGGCAGTTGCCAAGAAATTTTCATAATAGGGTGCTGTTTATTTTTGCAGGGAAAGCAATGTTCTGGCACTTTGTTGATTATTGTTTTTGGTGGTGAAACCTTTCTCTCTCTGCCCATTCTGCTTAGCTGGGAGCTGAGCTGGGAGCTCAGGCGATCAGTCACCTGGAAGAAGTGAGCGATGAAGGCATCGCTGCCATGGCAACGGCCAGGAGCTCTGCTGTCCTCCTGCCCACCACCGCCTACATGCTGAGGTGAGCTGCCCGTGCAAGCTGTGAGGATGCAGACCGAGATGCCTAAATAGTATTTCATTGTCCTTCCAAATTCCTGAAAAATGCAGATCAGGAAAACTGAGCCCATGGGAGATGCCAATTCTGGAGTCATGTACAGAGATGCATTATTCTGAGGAAAGAGCTTGGGCCCAAATGGCGTTTAAGTGGTGGGATTATTGGGAAGAGTGGAGCTTTCTCATTCTTTTTTTCCCTCCTTTTTGGGATTTTCCAATTAAAAATCATGCATCACTTCTATCATTAGAAAACAATGTAATGGACTTTCTACTTAAAAAAACATGCATAAGATGTTAGAGATATTTAACAATATTCAGAATCTGAAGGAGCTGTTTTCTAAGAGGATGCAAGTAAGTACCACAATCTTCACAAATCCTGGAGGTGGGAGGAAAGAGGAGATGTCTAAGTATATTTTGTGAAATCTTCCCAGGAATTTTGCTGTTTGCCCTCTATGGATTGAATGCACCTAGTCCATAGTTCATCTTCATAACTGCCGTTTCGGACATTGGACCATGTCTGGAGGCAGTTTGGGTTGTCATGACTAGGGGGCGCTGCTGGCATCTAGTGAGTAGAGGCCAGGGATGCACCTAAACATCCCCACAGTGCACAGAGCAGCCTCCCACCACAGAAAGTTGTCCTGCCCAAGAATTACGCAGCCACAATATGAACTGTGCCGGGATTGGGACACTCTGCCTTAGCGATTGAAAAGCCAGGCTTTGAGTAACCTTTATAAGAGAGAAGAAAGGAATATTGCAGTGCTTTTCTCAAATACAGTATGATCTATACACATATGTATAATATTATACATTTCTCTTATTATTACTATTCTCTTAATGTAAAGAGTAGACATAATGTAGATTACGACCAGGAAATATCAATCAGTAACCGTCCTTGGTATCTTGGCATTTACAGCAAGTCTCAGCAATCATCAACTGAAGTCATCAATCAATACTTAATCTGGTTAATTTTCCATCAACCAAGGAACACTTTCACTTTGAATCTCTTAAGATGGAGCAAAACTCTGACACTTGAAGTATGAAGGGCAGCTCAGCAATAAAAGTCAGAACTTTGTCCCGCTGCCAGAGGGGGCTGCCATCTGTGGTCACCGCAAGATGGGTTGGTCACGCAGTTTGGACAACAGGAAGAATCACAGACAAGGCCACACTTTTCTCTCTGGCTTCTCTGTTCTGGAATTTTTCTGATCTCTCCAACAGGAGCAATTTGCAGGGCTCCCTGTCATGCCCTGAATTCTCCCTCCTTTTTTTTCCTCTCTATATGCTTATTTATTTTGAGGGAGAGAGAGAGAGAGAGAGAGAGAGAGAGAGAGAGAGAGAGAGCACAAGTCGGGGGAGGAGGGTGGAGAGAGAGGGGGATGCCATAATTCTCTCTCTTTTTTTCTCTCCAAATGTTTATTTTTGAGAGAGAGGGAGGGGGTGGGGAGAGAATGTGCACAAGCGGGATAGGGGCAGAGAGACATGGGGACAGAGGATCTGAAGTGGGCTCTGTGCTGACAGCAGAGAGCTTGATGTGAGGCTTGAACTCATAAGCCATGAGATCACGAACTGAACCGAGGTCAGACGCTCAACCAACTGAGCCACCCTGGTGCCCCTGCCCTGAATTCTCTTGACTCTCATTTCCAGAGTAACAGTTGCCTTATGCTACTCAAGGACTTGCTGTAATCATTATTTTATGCATCTTTGTGTGTACTGTTTAAATTTATTCCGGAAACATTCACCTTAGTTTTTCTGGCACTCCCTTGAGACTTCTACAGCTTCACTTTTGCTTTTTCTTTTTTTCTTTTTTTACCTCCTGAAGTATTTCTGGAAGGGGAGGGGAGGCCATCAGAATGAACCGTGGGGAAATTTTAAGCTCTACCTTTCCTCACCCTTATCTCTGCTTCACCCACCTCCTCTCATATATTATCCTAGTTGAGGAACATTATCTCAGGTCATCCTGCAAATTGTCAGTCATAGACTGTGAATGTTTCAAGGACCTCAGTCTTGGCCTGTAAAACCTGTAGACTCTCAGCACAACCGATTTTATCTGTCTTCCTCCCCCCGACACTGTGAGCCTGAGTAAACACTAGCGTAGAGTCTGATAGCTCAAGACTGCATCCCTAGGATGACCCGTGCCCCTTATAGTGCCTGCCTGAGAAAGCCCAACCTGACAGGGGAATTAAGTGTTTGTTCCAACAAAACCAGGCGACAGGCAGCTGGACCCCTGGACTTCCTCTTAGAGCAGTAACTTTACAAAGCTTGCAATTGTAAATTCTTTCTCTGCTCCTTTTTTTTTTAATTAAAAAAATTTTTTTAAATCTTTATTTATTTTTGAGAGAGAGAGAGAGAGACAGAGAGACAGAGAGAGAGAGAGACAGAGCAGCAGGGAGGAACAGAGAGAGAGGCAGACACAGAATCCAAAGTAGGCTCCAGGCTCCGAGCTGTCAGTACAGAGCCCGATGCGGGGCTCAAACTCACCAACCGTGAGATCATGACTTGAGCCGAAGTCGGACGCTCATCTGACTGAGCCATGCAGGTGCCCCTTTCTCTGCTCCTTTGAGATATAAATCTTCCACCACCCAAGCAGGATTGTCTCCTCAAGGACCTTAGAGCCCTCTCTTCAAAAGGCAAACATTCAAGAAGACAACTCTGTCCCTAGTTCCCAGCCTGGTGGGTACACTGCACCAGCTTACACCCCTGCCTCTTTTTGTAAAGGTAGTGAAGTTTGTTTCTCCTCCAGAGAACAAACCAGTGCCAGTGAACACACGCAGATCGTACTGGCCCATCTCTCATGCTTTTAGAAAATTTTCACTTCCCTGGCTCTACTCAACTCCCTCTGCCCCTTTTTCCTACTGATCTCCTCGTTCTTTCTTAAAACACCCAGTTAGCACTGCACAGATCAAAACAGTCCAGTCCACATGGGACTCTTTTCCCTTCTGCAATCGTTATTACTGAATACAGTTTGTCTTCAGCATTTTAACTAGTGTTTGGCTCTGTTTATCTCTGACATAACTTTTGAGTCATGTCTTAAAGAATAAATAATATTGTGCCAAGGAGGTCAGGGAGACATGCACCCTAGGAAGAAGCACAAATATTTTACATATTAGATTCTTGGGCCTTCAGGATTTTAAAGGGCCACAAAAAATGTTTGAGACCCTTCTCCCCACCCCCTGCCCAAGGAGGGAGAGAAATATGAATAAAAAATTGCAAAATTGAAGTTAATAGAAATAACATTTTTTAAAACTTCATTGTTTATATTTGGGAGTCAAAAAAAAGTTTGTTACATTTGAAAAAATTTAAGTTGTATTTTTCTTCCTTAGCAGGAATCTCTGGATGTATATAAAGATTGCCAAAATAGGGGCACCTGGTGGCTCAGTTTAAGTGCCGCCTCTTGATCTCAGCTCAGGTCACGATCTCAGGGGTTCGTGAATTCGATCCCCATATAGCGGCTCTGTGCTAACAGCGTGGAGGCTGGTTGGGATTCTCTCTCTTTGCCCCTCCCCTGCTTGCATGCATGTGTGCTCCCTCTCTCTCTCTCTCTCTCTCTCTCTCTCTCTCTCGTGAATAAACATTAAAAAAATTGGCAAAATGAACACTCCCAAATTAAAGAAGTTAATCATAGCCAAGTCATTTCAAAAGCAGAATGATAAAAGTCAGAAGTCCTAGGCTTCCACATCACCATTAATCACTTAACCTTGAGTTTCTGTTTCTTCTTCCAGAACACAAAGGGGTTGGATATCTTAAGTCTGCTTCCATTCTGAACATCTAGTCTGCAGAAGCTCCACTTCCAGAGACTGACATCTTTTTTTTTTTTTTTTTTTTTCTTTTTCCCCCTTGTCTTAGACTGAAGCAACCTCGGGCTAGGAAGATGTTAGATGAAGGGGTAATCGTTGCTCTGGGCAGTGATTTCAACCCTAACGCATATTGCCTTTCAATGGTAATTATTTTTAATGTGCCTTTCTGAGCAGAGAATCAGTCTTCCACCAAGTGTGTAAATAATTTAAAACTAGTTCACTAACTGCTAAAATGTTCCAAAGATCTAAAAAATATTTTCCTGTGAAACAAGAAAAAAAGCGTAGATGACAGAATAATTGGATATTTCTGCCCCACATGAATGCCTCCAGGCGTAGAGAGGGGAGAGAAAGTTCTACCTGCATAATTTTTTGATTCTGCCTTGGGCGTTGTGGTTTGGCAATAGCTTATTCCTGTCTTGGAGGTTAGCACAAGCTCAAAGAAGTTTTAGTGAGTGAGTGTGGAGGGGAGCTTAGTGGTCTTGAAAAGTTGTGAATAAATACTCCATACGTGGCGGAGGTGGGAGTGGGAAATATGTATTAATAAAGGGATCTTCTCCAAAGCATAAGAATCTTTACATGTGAATTATAACTTTTCTCATACTAGTTTAGCCAGTTCCTCCTATATATTTAATTTCCATTATTGGTTGTGCTGCGTTGAGAAATGTCCAAGTACAAGTTGCCATTTTGTTACTTTCCTCTAACGCTGTTCTTTCTTGCCTTAGCCAATGGTCATGCATCTGGCCTGTGTGAACATGAGAATGTCCATGCCTGAGGCCTTGGCGGCTGCCACTATCAATGCAGCTTATGCGCTGGGAAAATCTCACACACATGGATCTCTGGAAGTTGGTAAGCAGGGAGATCTCATTATCATCAATTCGTCCAGGTGAGTGCTCTCCCAACTGAACTAGTTTCTTTTATGCCCGTTGTAATATATAGACTGGGATTAAATGCCTTTTCTGCTAATTATTAGCATCAGGCTCTGTGTAGGCTCGGATGCCCCCCAATCTCCTTTATCATCATCCCTTTCTAACCAGAAAGTCTGCCTACAGATCCTAAACCGCACAGAGAAGACCAGATTGTCTAGTGTTTTCATCTGTCTTACATCTTTCATAGATCTTCAGGTTTTTGTTCTGTTGACCTGGACTTGGGACTTGTGCCCCCCAGCACAAGTTTTTCTGCTGGAGTTCTGACCGATGCTTGTGCTGGGCACGCATGTCCCAACTCTGGCTCGTCACCCTGGTTCTGATTCATTACCTCTCTGGCGTCTTCTCGCTCCTACCAGATCCCCAAAGGCTTAAGTTTTCCTGCCCCTGGTTACTCACCCACAGCCTGCTGCTAATTGGGCCCCCAGTGTGACAACTTAGTCTTACTTTTCTGTCTTAAAGTTGTTAATCCTATGGCTCCTTGACCCTAGCCAGCTTATTGCAGTCCTTGGACTTCGTGTTCGACAGAAGAACGAGGCTCTGTAATTCTACTCCTCACTCTCTCTATTGAAAATGATACTGATGTTACTTTTTGTACATCACTTAATAGGATCAAATATGTTAAGATCAAATACTTAAATAACATCATTAAATCGTATTTAAGTCGTAGACCAGTTATCATGTAATCTATTTTTTTTAAAAGCCCAAATATCAATGACAAAGTATGAAGAAATTTTGAGAGAATGTATTTTTAAATTAGCATTTATTGACAAAGGGATAATTTTGGCTTGTATACATTAAAGTACGTTTGATTTCTTTCTAGATGGGAGCATTTGATTTACCAGTTTGGAGGCCATCACGAATTAATTGAATATGTTATAGCTAAAGGAAAAGTCATCTACAAAAAATGAAAGATCTGAAAGGAAAGAGAAGACTCTTCGACTGTATAAGCCAATGCAGTTGTAGTAAAAGTTAAAATACCATAGTAATTTACCAGGGTGATGTCAGATATATTTCAGTGCTTTGTTAATCCACTTGAAAAAACCAAGAGATAAATTTATTTTCTTTTAACATGTGTACCTGGACATACAAATAGGTAAATCAATTGGATCATAATCTTATAACATTAAATCATCTCACAGAGATTTGTTACAAATATTTTGAAGATTAATATGATGGAGTATCACCAAAATGCCTTTGTGGGGAAAGCAGATTGGCAATTAGGTAGACATGGCTTGGAAATCCCATTTTATTTCTGCTTTTCAAGTTTCAGTTTTTAAACTACATTTAGTGAAAATTAGGGGATGATGAGAAATCCAAGTGATATGCCCCAAACTAAGCACGTGTAGCCTTCTATAATAGGCTAGTCCTGGGGCGCCTGGGTGGCTCAGTCGGTTGAGCGTCCGACTTCGGCTCAGGTCATGATCTCGCGGTCCGTGAGTTCGAGCCCCGCGTCGGGCTCTGTGCTGACCGCTCAGAGCCTGGAGCCTGTTTCAGATTCTGTGTCTCCCTCTCTCTCTGACCCTCCCCCGTTCATGCTCTGTCTCTCTCTGTCTCAAAAATAAATAAACGTTAAAAAAATTAAAAAAAAAATAGGCTAGTCCTTTCCCCACATAGTTTGTCTTTACAGATGTTCTTTGAATGAATTAGTGTCTCCTATGGGAGGGTGTCCCTATATTTCTAATTTCTTCTCAATTCTAACAATAGAGCTGCACAACAGATTTCAAGACTTGTCATTTTATACATGGGTACAGGGGCCTTCCTCGAAAGGATGCATTTTGACCAAATCTATTAATGTGATTTTTAAAAGTCATTTTTAAGTCTTTGATTGTTCACATTACAAATGTGTAACAAAATTTTTGTAGCTCTCAATAAATTTTGTAGTCACTATTATTGTTGTTTCCAGCCCTGGAAGTAGATCAGTGGTATTATCTATTGCAGCTATTTGGGAGATGAACAAATTACATAATTACACATAAAGAAATAGTGGATGACTATATAAATCGGTGTTTCTAAAGCCCTATGAGTTTACTTGAAATATTTTAATTTTTTAATTTATTTTAATTTTTTTTTTTTTTTTTATTTTACCGAGAGTGCACCAGTGCGCACGCCCCACCCCGCGCCCCCCCCCCCCCCCCCCGGGCAGAGGAGGAGAGAGAGAATCTCAAGCAGGCTGAGATTCAAGCACCCCTCGAGCACGGGCTCAGTGTGGAGTCTGACACAGGCTCCATCCCACAACCCTGAGATCATGGCTTGAGTTGAAATCAAGAGTCAAATGCTCAACCGACTGAGCCACCCAGGTGCCCCAACTTGAAATCTTTTTAAATGTTTGATCATCCTTATAATCACAACTGCATTATTAAACTTTGTCCTATTTATGAATAAATGATTTGAGAAGTAAATGTTAACCAAATTATCACCCATTTCAGGTTAATAAAGCCTGAATCGATGAGGCTTTACTGTATTCCATATATATTGAACCAAAATACCCCTTGTTGGGAGGTTACGGGTAACATTGCACATTACTGTCACTACCTGATAGCATGGGGTCTTTGGAGCATTGTCCTTCATATGCTTGGTGAAGGAGTTTGAGGAGGTGTGGGAGATGGATGGTTGCTGTGGGTGATGCCTCCCCAATGACCAAGCACCTGCTCAGCAGTCGGAGTTTGGGATGCAGGCGATAGATATAAAGGCCAAAACTAAAGACTAGGTGTGTTTAGCACAGAAGTATATCTTTACGCCTATGGAATAAGAAGGAGAAGTGCACCCTATTTTCCCTCTAGGAGGCATTCACTTTAAACAAATAGCATTAATGTCTTTTTAAAATGAAAGAGAAGAGGATACCCACCCGGAACCGCCTTAGTCCTCCCAGGCCAGTGTCCTGTAAGCCCTAACAACTTGGGATCCTGCTAGAAATGAGAACTTTGGCTTCCCTCCAGACCTACTGAATCAGGATCTGTGTCTTAACCAGCCCCCAGGTTATTTGTACGGTAATTAAGTTCTGAAAAGTACTGCAGTCTAGACCCCTAGCGACCCTGGCTTTCACACTGTGCCTCAAAACACAGTTTGCTTTTGCTGTTCCAGGCCTTGCATCACTGTTCCCTCTGCCTGGACTGCTTTCCCTCACTTCTCTATGTGGTAAATCTAGTCCCTCCACACCCCCACCATGCACCCATCCTCCATGATAGATTTAATAGCATTGTGGTTTTAACTGTCTTTCCCTTTAGAATGTTAACAGAGGGCAGGGACCTCATCGTGCCCCAGGATCTAGTATGGTGACTGGTTCATAGCAGGTGATCAAGAAATGAATTAATGAACGGCTACACAAACATACTGATAGTCACAGTGAAAGTGACTTATTAAAACATACTAAGTAGACCACCCCAGGAAGGCAGTGATAAGGAAAATGTTCTGTGAATTGGAAAGAACATATGAATTCCTTAAGTTAATGCCAAAGAATGATGCTCATGGAGGAGTAAATTGTAAAAGTAAACCCAAAGAAACAGTTCCATGGTTGGGTGGGGAGCTGGGCTGCCATGTTTACCTTTGGGGGTTGGAAGGATGTTGATGAGAAAGAAAGGCTCCAAGACGGAACATTATGAAGTGTTCAGAAGATAGGTGATGAGCTCTCATAGAGCAGAGTGCTCGTGGGGAGCTAGGGCTGGCTCAGATTTCACAGGGCTTTGAATGTCACCTTCACTAGGAGGAACCTCATTCTTAAAGTCAGGAAAAGCCCCTGAGAATCTTTGAACAAGTTAGGACCAGGACAAGAATATTATAGAAAAAATTAATCTGGTTTTAGTGTACATAGTAGGCACTCAAACATTTGTTGTATGCGTGGACTCTGGCAAGACACCTTGAACAAGTCCTTTTGGTGGATAGAGTAGGAGGTATCGGGGCTAGAAGTGGAAAGCTCTTGCAGTGGCACAGAAAGATGTCAAGATGCCTGCTCTGTGCTCCACGCTGGGCTAGACCAATGTTTCTTTTCTCAGCCTTTTAAAACTATCAGGCCACCCCCCGAAATTAGATTTCTCCCTAAGGAGTAAGATTTCGTCAGATAGGGCTGAGCTTGGAAGACCATAAACCCTCATAATATATAAGTTCTTTTGCATCTCAAGAACCAATTTTTGCCTCATCGTGCACAATTTCACCCCCACTGAATTGAGGGTGCACACACCAAATGCCGTGGGAGACAGGAGACAACATGGTATGCTGGAGGGCACACACATCTGGGACTTAACATCTGGGCTTTGATTTCTTCTTGAACTCTTCATCTGTAGAGGTTGGATTCCCTCCATCTCTGAAATTCTGATTCTAGACTGGGCCCTGCCTTCAGGGAATTTACAACCCAATTAGGGCAGTAAGACTGACATTAAAGAGTAGAATCAAAGCCAAAGTGTATTAAGAGTCGATTCTTCTAAAAGGAACTTGTGAAACACAATACTTTTAAAATTTAAACTGGTTTTGCCAGATATCCCCCCTACCCCCAAAGCATGAGCATCTGGGTCTTTATTACAGTAAACAGTAAAAGGATAAATTCAATGCCAGCCCCTGAGAGAGATTTTTTTTCTGATGGGAAGTTATTCTGAAATATGAAGGCACATGTTTTCCAAGTGATTCTACTGCAGCTACTGCAGGAATCAAGAGCCTGGCACCCAACTGGTAGAAACCAGCAATGAGCCATCCGTGCTTGCTTACTCACCCTCCACATCTGAGGTGTTCTGTGCTGGTAGAGTTTTGCTTCCCCTACCATACATTAGCATGAGTTCTCATGCTCTCAATGACCTAGCATCTACTTACTTCCTAACCTTTCCATCTTGCTGCTTGCACAGTGCTATTGTTTGTTTAATCCTCTGGCCACTGCCTACCTAAGCTATAAGCTGTGAGGGCAAAGACCAGGGCCATCTTGGTCACCCTTTGTTTAATGATTGAAATTGACCAAACGTAGAATTGGTTTCTTGGCATAAATGTCTTCTGACGTTGATGTTCAGCTTACATTTCTTCTTTTTCCTCCCTTCTCCCTCTGACTGCCGTCACTCAAAACATAGTTCAGTTACCTCTTCCAGGAAGCCTCCCTGATGATCCAAAGGTGTTGTGGTTATTGTACTTTCCTCTAGGACACACACTTGGCACATTAATTGGCCTTTCATGTCCCCAACTAGATGGAAAGTCTTCGAATAAAGGACTACATGTGATATTGATGTACCTTAGCCCTAGTACAGCACCTTAGAAATAGTAGCTGAGGTAGGGAAGATGCTAACAGCTATAGATTTCAAGATCGGATGAAAATTGGCTTATAAAATAAGGAAGTATATTAGATCACCTTTGGAAATTCACCTGAAGGACAGGCTTCAGGACTGCTTTTTCCAGCAGCTCCTTAACGTTGAAGACCCAGATTCCTTCCTTCCCTCTCTGCTATGTCATCCCGTGTTGGCGTTACCCCAAGGCCAGATTCCCCAGTGGGTTGGACTGGCTGTCAACAGCCCTAGGTGTTCTATGCTTCCTCCTCATTTAAGTCAAATAGGTGGATGAGAAAGCCTGACTGCTGTGGCTCTCAGGAGAGAATGCTTTCTCAAGGCCCCCAATAAAACTTGTCTCTGTCTCATTGGCCCAAATGCAGCCTCAGCCATTTCTTGAACTAATCACCAAGCAAAAGAAATGTGGTATCTTGTGGACTCACCAGGCCTATGCTGTACTCTGAAACACATTTCTTCCAACTCTTTTTCTGGCTTTGTTTTTTGGGTATATTTTTAACGTTTACATTTAATAAATTAATATCTTCAACCAAAGTAACACCCCAAATGCAAAATGATGCTATTCATAATTAGAAGGTTTAATCAAAATATAATAATCCAGTAACCAGATCCAGAAATGAGACTCAAGTTTAAAGTAGTAATGAAAAGTGTCTTGAATTGTTCAGGTTATGTTTTTGATTTCATGTATAGTGGTAAACTGTTACAGTAATGTTCTGCACATCACATGCCCATGCCATTGACTATTATTTTCCAGATTGACTTGGGCTTGAGAATGTGACTTGCTTTGGCTGAAAGGACACTAGCAAGTATGGCAAAGTAGAGGCATAAAAGCCCCAGGGCTCTGGCTGCCCTGAGACAACAGGTGAAGCAGCTCAGATTACCTGCTGGGG